GAATTATTATTTTGATTATGAACTCCAGAGAAGGCACAGTGGAAGGATTTCAAGAGAGGCATGGGTGGAAACGGGGTCAGAAGACAGCAAGAGCCTTAAGGAGATTAGATTCAGGAGATGAAAGGTGATCTAAGAGTCGGGGGGTTGAGGGTACCCAGTATCAACAAAGATAAATAATGAGAGGAGTCTCAACTGACTCAAGGCAGATAGCAGTCAGAATGTTGAGTGCTGGTGGGTAGGGAAGGGTGAGTGGTTCAGCTTTCCTTTTGGCCTCTATCAGTAGAAACAAGGAGATCTCCAGCAAATCCTCACTTTTTAGTCATTTTCGTAATTGACTTTTCTCTGACATTTGAAATTGGGGTCTAGTATCCTTTTTGAAATCATCCTCCCTTCACATTTTGTTTAGTTTCTACTACTACCTCCCTTATCATTTACTCTCTCCCATTGGCTCCTTTTCTTCTACTAACACTTAATATTTTATGGTTCAGTCCTGCTTTTCTTTTCTCTCTACATACAATCTGATGCTCCCCAGATGATTTCATCTATATCCATAGTTTCAGTCACTGCCTACATTCAGTTTCACAATGGACATCCTCATCTAGATAATCCGTGGGTACTTCAATGACAAACAAAAACAAAAACAAAAAAAAGTTCTAAAAACATCTCTCTGCCCAAGCCTATAGTACTGCTATATTTTAGTATGAGATAGGATGGGATACTTTCTACTATCTCAGAATCTGGCTGAAGTGAGGCCGCAAAGCTAAACGAAAAATGACAAACTCCCCCACACTCTAAAAAGGACATCCATGCCAGACTTACCAAAAGATGGTATCCCTATTATCCACCTCCTATTTAAAAAAAACAAAAGAAGCCGGTGCGCGGCTCAGCTCTGTAATCCCAGCACTTTGGGACGCCGAGACGGGCGGATCACGAGGTCAGGAGATCGGAGACCATCCTGGCTAACAAGTGAAACTCCGTCTCTATCTAAAAAAAATACAAAAAACTAGCCGGGCGAAGTGCGGGCGCTGTGGGTCCCAGCTACTCGAGTGAGGCAGGAGAATGGCGTGAACCCGGGAGGGAGCTTGCAGTGAGCTGAGATCGGCCACCACACTCCACCAGGCCTGGGTGACAGAGCCAGACTCTAGTCTCAAAAAAAAAAAAAAAAAAGATAGAAGAAAATTTGCAAACATGGGAGAGAATGTGTAGGGCGTTTGCATTCTCGAGTTGGAGGGGACAAGGAAAGAAAAAAAAACCTCTGAGACAGACTAGGTGACAACTGCAAGGAGAAACTGACATCTGAATCTTTGGGGTTTTTTGGTTTTGTTTGTTTACATTTTGAGACAGAGTCTCATTCTGTCACCCAGGCTGGAGTGCAGTGGCACAATCTCAGCTCGCTGCAACCTCTGCCTCCCCAGTTCAAGCAATTCTCCTGCCTCAGCCTCCCAAGTAGCTAGGATGTGCTACCACACCCAGCTAGTTTCTGTATTTTTAGTAGAGACAGGGTTTCACCATGTTAGCCAGGCTGGTCTCGAACTCCTGATCTCAGGTGATCTGCCCACCTCAACCTACCAAAGTGCTGGGATTACAGCCATGAGTCACTAGACCCAGCCCTGACATCTGAATCTTTTTTGGCTATCAACTTATTAAGATAAAGAAACTCAGCTGTTACACCTGTAATCCCAGCACTGGGAGGCCAAGGAGGGCAGATCATGAGGTCAGGAGATTGAGGCCCTCCTGGATGACATGGCGAAAACCTGTCTCTACTAAAAATAGAAAAATGAGCTGGGTGTGGTGGCACATGCCTGTAATCCCAGCTACTCAGGAGGCGGAGGTTGCAGTGAGCAGAGATGGCGCCACTGCACTCCAGCCTGGTGATAGAGCAAGACTCCATCACAAAAAAAAAAAAAAAAAAAAGAAAAGAAAAAAAGAAACTGAGCTGTATCTTGTTTTAAACACCAGAACTAAATGCAGCAAGAGTTCCTGGGATAACCTGACAGATAGCCTCAAGAGTTTATTCAGAGAATATGTGAACACAGAAACTGGTCCCAGCCTGGAAAATTCCGCAAGAAAGAAGATGGCTGCAGCTGTCACAATGGTAGGGCAAAGATTTAGAGGACAGCAGTTGGGCAAGCTGCACTTTTACCACTGGGTTGTAGAGGTTTCCCACTGGCCACGCAGATGCTGCAGAAGGGCTAAGACATCTTGATGGAACCCTGCCAAAGCCATGTACCTTGTGGAGTAAAGGCACTCAGGAGTGCCAGGCGTAGACTACAGGAATCAAGAGCTAAAGGGAGGCTGCAAAAGGCAGCTGGAGGGTACACCGTACCCCTGACAGGGAACTTCGCAATGTGGACATAGCCCACAGGAGGGTTCCAAAAAACCATCCTGAGTGAACATCTCCGTAAGTCTACATTTGGACACCTGTTACACACAAGGCACCAGAAGCTGGAGTACAATAGTCTCAGTCAAACAAAACCTTGTCCTTTCTCCTCTAATCTTCCTTCTGATCAGAAGACAAAATCAGAAAGGGAGAGGAGGTTGAAGAGTGAAGAAACAGATCATGCGCCTCTTCTCCACCGCAGATCCCTGAGCCATGGTTAGATCTCACCTGAGAGGTAAATAAGCTTTCAACTGGGTGTAAGCTTTTGACTGTACATTTCACACCTGTGAATTTTAATCGCCAGAACAAGCTTGTTTTTGTTTTTCTGTTTTTTTTTGTTTTTTTGTTTTTTTTTTTCTGGAGACGGAGTTTTGCTTTTGTTGCCCAGGCTGGAGAGCAATGGCACGATCTCGGCACACTGCAACCTCCACCTCCCGGGTTCAAGCATTTCTCCTGCCTCAGCCTCCCAAGTAGCTGGGATTACAGGCATGCGCCACCACGCCCAGCTAATTTTGTATTTTTAGTAGAGATGGGGTTTCTCCATGTTGGTCAGGCTGGTCTCGAAATAAAACAAGCTTGTTCTTACAGTTAAGTGTAAAATCTTGCCAAGAGGCAAGAAAGGAAGATCCAATATGGCAGGGCTAAAGTCAAGGATGGGAAAACAATAAAGCCAGTTCCTATTCATATGTCATCAGGTATAAACTATATACCAGTCAAATTAGTCCACAGGGCTACCATCTACCCCATTATTCAAGTCGGAAATACAGGAGTCATCCTAGATTCTCCCCCTAAGATACTGAACCTCTTTCAACACATCTCTTTCTCCTGCCCCTGAGCTACTAGTGTAGTTCAAACATGAAGCACTGTAATAATCTCTTGGTGATTCTCTACCCTGGCCTACACTTTTAAAAGATTAAATTTAACACACAGGCCCCAGCCTAGAGATTCTGACTTAAATGGGGTCAGGTAGGGGCCTGCCATTAGTTTTCTCAAGAGGTCCTCAGTACTAACTGCAGCCAAGGTTGAGAATCACTAACCTAACTGATCTCTCCCACAATACAGGCTTACCTTCCCCCAAACTATCTCTCATAATGCCACAAGAGTCTTATTTTTAAAAACGCAAATTTCGTATTATTTATAGCAGTGGTTCCCAATCTAGGCTACCCAGTAGAATCACTTAGAGAGCTTTGTAAAATCCTGGTACCAGGTCAAGTCTAGAGAAATGAAAACAGAATCTCTGGGGATGAGAACCAGGCATCAATATTTATTAAACCTCTCCAGGTGATCCCAATAAGCAGATAAGGGTGAGAATCACTGTCCTAGAAGCAATGAGAAGTCACAGAAGTCCAAACTCCCCTGAAGACAATGAAAACGTCCCATCTAACCTTAGCACCCTTGGCTCTCACACTGCAAAAATCAGTGAGGCTCCCTGAAAGGCCACACACTTTTACACCTTTATATAAAGTATCACCTCAATCCTGAAAGCCCCTTCTGCTCATCCAGAGCTAAGTCCAACCCACCTTTAAGGTTAACACCTTTCAAGAATAAGCTCCTTTGTATAAACCTTCCCTGCCAAACACACAGCAGTCATTAATCCATCTGTGACCACTGTAATTCTGTAGGATAATTTTTAATGTTTCAGCCTAACTACCTTATTGAACTCCTTGAAATGAAAAACCTCATCCATGTTTTATCCCCAGTGCCTATCACTATGCATGGCACAGTTACCCTCAAATTTCTGCCAAATTCATTCGATTTAGGGCAACCTTATGAAGGAAGAATTTGACCTTAATAAACTATATGAGATATCATATTTGCACATTATATTCAAGGTTCATTAAAGAAACCAACACCCAGACTTTTAAAAAATGTAAGGCAAATGTTTAATGTTTGTTCTATTTATGAACAGTAACAAATCAAAGAAAGCAGGTGCAAAGGGCAGTATGTTTCCAGAGTCACAAGCGTGAAACCTGACAGAATAATAATGTTTGGCTTTCTATCTGAATAATATGTCCTTTAAAACATATCTTTTTCAAAATGTTATGCTGGTATAATAACAACTGTATGTTTTAGGAAAGTGAGTTAGATGACTTACTTTACCTGACAACAAAATGAGAAAGCATTTGAATGCTTCCAATAAAATGTACTCAAGTTTAAACAACACTGATAATATGGCTACCAGCATCTGACGGCAATTTCTAGTACTCTGGGTCCTGTTACCAAGCAGAAGTTCAGATCTCCATTTTTTTTTAAGTTACATTCAATATTTTATATTTATATCGTTAAGTCTATATGTACCTTTCACAAATACAGTAATTTTGCTAAAATATTAACTAAAGAAGAACTAAACACCTACATTATCGACTTTATTCAAAAGATTTTGTTGTACCCACATTCATATGGGCTATGGAAATCATATTCACATGCAAAATGATTACTATGTGTTTAAAGTAAGTTTTTAAATCTGTCAGACATCCTTGATTACTAAATTAATCCAGTCTTCACTGAATGCCTATTACTTGCTTGGGAATGTATTAAAACTGAAGTATCTGAAGTGACTAGTAAGAAAATAAAGGCATCAACCACAATATTTGGTATTTGTGGCTAATTGATTTTTTACCTTATTTGGCGATTTCAAAGGTGAGATGGCTATTTTATTTGGTGTCTGTGTTGTAGAATTTAAAGTTGATCCAATAACACCACTTTCAGATATTGTTATGGTCTTTGATGGAGTTCCGGGAGTAGACTGTGAAAGAACCCTACCTGCAAATGAGAGGCAGCACATCAGTTTGACTTTTTTCAATAATAGTATAAAAATTTATGTGATGATGCTCTACACTCACAAGGACTGCAGAATGTATGTTCGTCATTTCATGTTCAACACTTAATGAGCCACTAATGAACTGTGGTAACCCTAGGCAGAACGAAACAAAACACTACTTCTTAGCAATACTTAATATTAGCCTACATTAAACTCTACAAAAACAGTTTAACTCATGTGTTCATCAATACTGTTGCTATATCCATCAGAGAGAGAGCTCAGGGCAACTAAGCAACGTGCCCTGTGTAACACAGCTCCTGAAAGTCAGGACATGAACCCAAGTCTTAAAACTTCCATCTCTGTATTCTACTATCTATAGCTGTCTTCCCATTTGAACTTAAGCCATGAAGGTACAACTGATATCCACACTTATCAAACAGATAGTTACTGGACTAATTTAAACACTGACAGATTTAATACTATCTGATTTTAGACAGCCAAACAGGATTCCATACTGCCAGATTCCATACTGCGTTCCCTTCTGGGTAGGACCCTTCAGAAACAACAATGAAAAACTCTAGTGTCTGGATGCTTGGGGAACTGAAAATCATATTATATTGAGTTGAAATATCAGGAATTTTTATCCTAGGCAAGAAGAGACTACAGACATAACAGATCTTCAAATTCTTGAAGACTGTGTGATAGCCGTTATTCCCATTCACCAAGTATTCCAGCTTTCTCCCATTCTGGGCACACGGTAGAACTGCACTTGCACTTCCTACCACTCCCACCCCATCTTGTAGTTAAGAGTCATGACACTACTCCTGGCAGATGAGTTATGAGTAGAAGTGATGTGTGTCATTCTTGGGTCATAGCATTTATTACTGCCTATGCAAGACCTTCCAAAGTTTATTTTCTTCCACCATCTGAGATGGCAGCTCCTCGGTTAGCCTGTGTCCCTGAGTGACTATGAAGAGAAGATACTTTTTGAACCCACAATGGTCATATAGATAATCATGAAGTATGAACTTTTTAAAAAACAGGTTTTTTACCCTTCAGAGATTTGGAGATTATTTTGGCAGAAAAACCAAGATTATCCTAACTAATCCAGGCTGTCAGGTTAAAGGCCTAGAACCAATCTGTATCACATCAAATGCAGAGAAACAGAAAATACTTCAGCTCAGCACTAAGAAATAACTTCTAACAAAAATTTCCAATTGAAATGACTATTTCAAGACAAGTGAGTTTCTAGTCACTAAAGGTATCCCAAGCAGATGCTGGATAATCAAATACACTGGCTAAAGAAGAAAGTCAAGCATCTAAGAAGTAGAGAAGATTGATAACTAAATTATCTCTAGAATCTGCTCTAACCTTTAGATACTATGATTAAACTCATAGATCCAGCTATAGAGATGAAGGAGAGAGCATGACAGTGAGGGAGAAAGGGTAAGAGAGAAAGAAAGGACTTTCACTTTAGACAAAAATAAAGAACTAATGCTTAGCAGCTTCTGGGCCATTTTTCCTGATAACAATGCCAAAGTATGCCTTTTTTTTTTTTTTCCCCCTGAGACAAGGGTCTCGCTCAGTTACCCAGGCTAGAAAGCAGTGGTGTGATCATAGCTCACTGCAGCCTCGATCTTCTGGGCTCAAATGATCCTCCCACCTCAGCCTTCTGAGTAGCTGGGGCCACAGGCACATGCCACCATTCTCAGCTATTTAAAAATTTTTTTTAGACATGGAGTTTTGTCATGTTGCCCAGGCTGGCACAGTTTCTTTTTTAAAAAGTGAATCAAGTTTTTTCCCCATCTATGAATTTTTTAAGTATTTTTAATACAATTTTCAAAATTTCTTTGTAGTATATAGATTAATTTTAATGACATTCTGACAGGTTTTTAAAAAACCTGAATACATCATAACTACATAAAGTCAATTCTAAATAAACCAAATGAATCTACATCCAATGTTTAGAGAGCTGCTCTAAAGTATCGAGCCTGTCTAAAGTAATATGTTTGTCTATTCTGGTTTCCAAAGCTAATACTTGTGGGATAAGTGTGAAGCCCCAACAACCATTATGTTAAGAAAAGAAATTACCATTAAAGACACAGTTTCATAAAATATTCAATATTTATAGCCACTGCTATAATTTCATATTTGTTAGGAATTACGCATCTTTCAGATAATATTCATAAAGAGCCGGGGACAGTGGCTCACACCTGTAATCCCAGCACTTTGGGAGGCTGAGGCGGGTGGATCACGAGGTCAGGAATTCGAGACCAGCCTGGCCAACATGGTGAAACCCCGTCTCTACTAAAACTACAAAAATTAGCCGGGCGTGGTGGCATGTGTCTGTAATCCCAGTTACTTGGGAGGCAGAGGTTGCGGTGAGCTGAGATTGCGCCATTGCACTCCAGCCTGGGCAACAAGAGGAAGAATCCCTCTTAAAAAAAAAAAAAAAAAATTCATATAGAAAATCCTCAATTCCTGAGGATAACTGATATCAGAAAAAGGCAACTTAATATTAATTCACTTAAAACAGGAACAAAAACTTCAATATAAATTACAAAACTAAAAGTAATAAAACTTTTACTTTCTTTTTGTGGCCTATATTTTTTTAAAATTCCGTTTATAATTGCAACTATATTAACTCTTAGGATGAACAAAGAAAAAAATCAGCTGTTGAGTTTCAGGGAGAGAGATTGCTTCTGAAAATCTGGATGACAGCAAAAGGATAAATTATGTTGATAATGATAAATGGGAACGACATACTCATAAAGCAGGTCATTTCTACCAAAATATTTCTAGATTTCATCAATGTTCCCAAGAACCTTGATATCCTTTGAAATTCAAGTTACTCTTTTTGAGGGTCCACTTGGCTTTTATCCTGATGGCATTTCTGATGATCTAATCTAACCTCCAAATCCCTATTTATCCTTAGTTCCACAGATTCAAGCAAGCATGCAAGTTATATAATTTCACCTTGAAATCAATTTCTGTTGTCAGGTATTCTCCAAGAATCAAAAGAGACACACTCCTTAAAGCCACAGACTGGATAGGCTGGGGCAGGAAGCTAGAATATCTGAGTAAGGCCAAATTCTATAAGAGATTAATTTCACATTGTGATGAAGCTTGCTCCCATGAAGCAACCTTCTACCGTGAGAGCTGCGATAATGGGAACCTCTATTATCTCATGGAACTACCTCAAGTCTTGTCAGGTGGTTGGTATCTACATTTTACTAAACTAAGATGAACAAAATAATGTATTTACCTAAGATCACAGAGAAAATCAATAGAAGACCCATGACTAAAAACCCAAGTTTCCCAATAGCTCCTACTGTATCACTATAGTACCTCCATGATATACATATTCATGCAACAATACGCATTCACAGAACTACATCAAAGTGCCAAAAACAGGGGCCGGGCACAGTGGCTCACGCCTGTAATCCCAGCACTTCAGGAGGCCAAAGCGGGTGGATCACGAGGACAGGAGATCGAGACCATCTTGGTTAACACGGTGAAACCCTGTCTCTATTAAAAATACAAAAAATTAGCCGGGCGTGGTGGCAGGCGCCTGTAGTCCCAGCTACTCAGGAGGCTGAGGCAAGAGAATGGCGTGAACCCTCGAGGCGGAGCTTGTAGTGAGCCGAAATCGCATTCAGCCTGGGCGACAGAGCAAAACTCCATCTCAAAAAAAAAAAAAAAAAGTGTCAAAAATTGTGCTAGGTTCTGGGGAGGTGGAGACAGAGGAGAAAGTGAAAGAGCGAGAGAAACAAGATAAAAGAACCATCAATACAGTACATACATAACTACAATGGAACATGATTCTGCCTTAAAAAGAAAATTCTGATATATACTACAACACAAATGCACCTTAAGGACATTATGCTAAGTGAAATAAGCCAATCAAAAAAAAAAAGGGCAATGGATGGGCATGGTGGCTCACACCTGTAATCCCAGCACTTTGGGAGGCTGAGGTGGGCAGATCACCTGAGGTAAGGAGTTTGAGAACAGCCTGGCCAACATGGTGAAACACCATCTCTACTAAAAATACAAAAATTGGCCAGGCGTGATGGCACACATCTGTAATCCCAGCTACTTGGGAGGCTGAAGCAAGAGAATCACTTGAACCCAGGAGACAGAGGTTGCAGTGAGCCAAGATCGTACCACTGCATTCCAACCTGGGCAACAGACTGAGACTCCATCTTAAATCCCAGCTACTTGGGAGGCTGAGGCAGGAGGATCATTTGAACCCGGGAAGGCACAGGTTGCAGTGAGCCAAGATCGTGCCACTGCACTCCAGCCTGAGTGACAGAGTGACAGACTGTCTCAAAAAAAAAACCATGGAGAGATAAAAGTGGGATGCTAGTTGCCAGATGCTGGACTGGGGAAGAAAGAATAAGGAGTTTTTGCTTAATGGGTAGAAGACTTCAGTTTTGCAAAAAGAAAAAGTTTTAGAGATGGGATGGTGGTGATGGTTGTATAACAATGTGAATGTGCCTAATGCCAATGAACTATACACTTAAAACAGTTAAGATGAGGCTGGGTGCAGTGGCTCACATCTGTAATCCCAGCACTTTGGAAGGCTGAGGCGGGTGGATCACTTGAGGTCATAAGTTCAAGACCAGCCTGATCAACATGGTGAAACCCCTTCTCTACTAAAAATATAAAAATTAGCCAGATGTGGTGGAGCATGCCTGTAGTCGCAGCAATTCAGGAAGCTGAGGCAGGAAAATCACTTGACCCTGGGAGGTAGAGGCTGCAGTGAGTTAAGATCATGTCACTGCACTCCAGCCTGGGTGACAGAGTGAAACTCCATCTCAAAAAAAAAAAAAAAAGTTAAGATGGTAAATTTTATGTTATGTATATCTTACCACAATTTTTTAAAAATAAGTTTTTTAAAAGAACTAGATGATGAGGCCAGGCACAGTGGCTCATGCCTGTAATCCCAGCACTTTGGGAGGCTGAGGCGGGAGGATTACCTAAGGTCAGGAGTTCGAGACCAGCCTGGCCAACATGGTGAAACCTCGTCTCCACTAAAAATACAAAAATTAGCCAGGCATAGTGCCAAGCACCTGTAATCCCAGCTACTCAGGAGGCTGAGACAGGAGAATCGCTTGAACCCGGGAGGCGGAGGTTGCAGTGAGCCAAGATCGCGCTATTGCACTCTAGCTTGGGCAACAAGAGCGAAAACTCCGTTCAAAAAAAAAAAAAAGAGAGAGAGCGAGCTAGAAGATGAACAAAAAACCAAAAACAAACAAAAAAACTACCATCATGAAAAATTGTAAGGGTTATGGGGAGACAGACAAGAAAACCAACATTTATAATATAGTATGACTAATGGATAACTGAAAGCCAGTGTGAAATTTATCAGAAGTTTAAGATAAGTACTTGGTAAGTATAACCAATTTTTATGGAAATAAATAGGAAATGATCAGAGAAAGAATACCTGACTAAACCTAGAAGTCAAAAACTTCCGACATGGGTAATCTAAGAGATAAAATGGATGAGTCAGCCGCGAGGAACAGCAAAGAAAGGCATTCCATGTAAAAGGAACTTTGCCAAGACCCTTAGTCCTACAACTTAGTTTCAATCTATTTGGTGATTTCTTACAATAAGTTAAATCAGTAGGTTTGGAGCTACTATTTTGGAGGTGAAAATAAAAAGGCATGCATTAGATCATAAATGCCTTTAATGCTAAGAAAGCACTGGCATTTGAACTTAATCCTGATGGGTCCAGCTGAAGAAATGAACAAGGCCAAGAAAATTTTAAGCAAGGGTGTGACAAGTTCAGATATGCATTTTAGAAAACTCACTTATACACAAATAAAAAATTATCTTGACTGAAACACAGAAAAAGATAGTCATCTTTAATGAGAAGCCCAAAAACCATTAAAAAAAAAAAATCTCAAGGTACTTTGAAAGAGCATTAGCTGGCAGGGCGTAGTGGCGCATGCCTGTAGTCCCAGCACTTTGGGAGGCCAAGACGGGTGGATCACAAGGTTAGGAGTTCGAGACCAGCCTGGCCAACATGGTGAAACCCCGTCTCTACTAAAAATACAAAAATTAGCTGGTTGTGGTGGCGGGCGCCTGTAATCCCAGTTACTCGGGAGGCTGAGGCAGGAGAATCACTTGAACCCCGGAGGCGGAGGTTGCAGTGAGCCAAGATCGTGCCATTGTACTCCAGCCTGGGCAACAGGGCGAGACTGTCTCAAAAAAAAAAAGCATTAGCTGCAATATAAAGACTAGCTGCATGGAAAAAGACTGCAGTCTTAGCTGCAATGTAAACATAAAGATGATGGAATCTCCTTGTGATATAATTCAACAGAAAGGCACTTGGATGGTTTAAAATTTAGCATATATGAATTTTTAAAGGTTATAAAGAACCAGTTAAAAGTAGAAATTATCTATCCAAACTGAACTTAATGCCAACAATGCTAGTAAAATTTTACAGAAGTATATCTCTATGTATTCTGGTAGGGCTATTAAGTCCGTGTGCAATTGAAAAATAAAGTTACAATCAGTCTGCAACACATTATAAACAACCCAAAGACCAAGCAATGACATATACAAATGTCTATGATAGGGTGAACTCTTGACATTAACCAAAAATTCATTCAGACACTTCCTCAAACACTACAATTGTGTACCACACAACCCATACTTCCTCCTTCCCATTAACTAAAACTTTTCAGGGACTCTCTCAGAGTCTCTTCAGAGACTCAAAACAGTAAAGAATATCCCATTAAAACACTCCTGGTTAAGCCCCTCTACCTATACAAAATCTCCAAGGGGACTGGTGTTTTCTTTTTAATGAATACTTCCAACCCTTGCTTACTTATAGCCAATTGCAGTCCACTTCCTAAACCAGCTCCAAACCCAAACCCTTTCCAGTCTTTTCTTTGGAGCCACATCTGCCTCCCATGACATGTCTCAAGACATCAGCTTCCTATACTGTCACAAATCTCTACTGAGCACCAAGAGAAAGAGAATAGTCACTCACCTAACACTGCTTTCACATTACAATTTTTCCATCTCTTCTCATTAGCTAAAATGAGAAGCCTCTCTACATACAAATACAAATCAAGCCTACGTACAAATCAAAGCCTCAGGAAAATGACAAGTCACTGCCATTGACTTCCGAGTTGCCTACCGCTATGTTGTAAATGCATTAAAGACAGATGGTTTTAATATACATGCTAGGAATGATCAGTTAATATTTGAGTACCCTCATCAAGAATACACAGCCTAGGGATGGGTAATTAGGATATGAAAGTCTCTAGTCAAAAGTTTACCATCCAGAGGTGCTTTCATATAAGCCTTTAGCACAGTAGAAATTAGAAATGATCCTATAACTAGTTAAAGAGTCATTTAGTATGGCTCTGGATTAAAGATCAATATGGCTGTGTGATTCTTCTCTAAAAACCTTGAGCTGCTAGCCAAACAAGGAATGGGAGGGTTGGACTTAGCCAAGCCATCAGAGAAAGAGACCGGAAAAAGAGAATCAATGGTGTCTACAAGAGAGCAATAGGATGGGTCATGGACTTCATCTTGAGGAAGGAAGAATTTGAGGACAGGAAAGGAATGATTATTGAGAAAGTAGAAAAATAAATGGACCAGAAATTTCAAAGTCAATTGCTGGATTGGGAGTAGAAAGGCAAGTAAACTAAAAGAATAAAGAGAACGAACACTTGAAGTCAAGATTTCTGAGGTGATATAGTGACTGGTGATGACACATATTAAAGTATAAAATAAAAGAGAACTGGGCTACACTAAGGAGTGTTCTAATAAAAGTAATTCAGCTAAAATTCTGTTATCACTTAAGTAATTACTATCATTGTGACAATTTTCTGTTTACAGATAACTCCATAGAGTACACTAAAATAGTGAAACCAAAAATTCAAACAGAAACCATGAAATACTATACTCTTGTGTATATTAATTTAAATTTATTAAACTTAGCATATGTGCTCCAGAGTCAAATTGCCTGGGTTCAAATTCCAGCTCAGCCATTTACTAGCTGAGTGCTTCCACTTCCACACTGGCAAAATGGGGATGTTATTAGTACCTACCTCATAGGATTGCTGGGGAATGATATAGTCACCACATGTAAAGGGCTAAGAATGGCGCCTGGCACACAGTGAACACTATATAAATATTAGCTAGTAGTATTGGAGTTTGAGACTTTGCTAGTATCATGGTAAATTTCTACCAAAAACTAAAGAGACTAAAGTAATGAACTGATTTTCAGATAAGGCATTTTGCTTGAAGCAAACATTTCTTATTAACTAGTCTGGTTTATAATAATAAGCTATGTTCGTTACACTAAAACATTTTAAGTTGGCAGAACAGCCTTTTTAAATCTAAAAGGAAGATAAATATTTAGCTTAATAAACTATAAAGAAATATAACCTGCAATGACTGGTGGTGAAACTTGAGTTGTCTGTCCTGTAACTGCTTTACTATTAATTGGTTTTGCAAAGATCAGCTTCGTGATTACTGGACCAGAGGTTGGCGTTCGAGGCTTCTTAGCAATCTGAAACATATAAATAACTATGAAGACCATCTGTTTCTATAAAATGCCTATTAAATCAAAATTATACCAAAGATTCATACAAAGTAGTACATGTAAAACCAACTCACACTTAACAGACTATATCTATGTATTAATATTAATGTTAAGAACATTTAAAATGCAGACATTCATCAAAATAGTAATATGATCATATCCTTAATCCCATATATAATAATACCTTTGCATTTTAATACAATTCCTTATTTTCATGTCTTGGATATATGCATATGATGAAAACAAAATTAATAATGCTTAATGAAAAAATAAAACTATGGCACAGTAATATTCTTGTTCAAAATAACAAATTACTCAATAATAAAAAGAGTAAGTAAAGAAAGTATAGTGCGAATGACGAAGCCACCTATATATGCAATTACATTGGCCTTTGGATGCAAAATATAAATACATACACATTAAAGGTAGGCTTATGACTAGATTTTCAACTTTAGATCTAAATATGAGTAGTAGATTAAGGGAGAACTGAGTAAGGTAAAGCCCTAGGGTACAAAACAGAAAAATTTGGTAGAACGAAAACTATTTTAAGGGCAACAGCTGTGAAATATTATTTACTAAACTATTAGGTACTATACTTTTCTTCTTTTAAAGATGGGGTCCCAGGCCAGGTGCACTGGCTCACGCCTGTAATTCCAGCCCTTTGGGAGGCTGAGGCAGGAGGATCACTTGAGGTCAGGAGTTCAAGCCCAGCCGGGCCAAAATGGTGAAACCCTGTCTCTACAAAAATACAAAAATTAGCAGGGTGTGGTGGCGCACGCCTATAATCTTAGTTACTCGGGAGGCTGAGGCAGGAGAATTGCTTGAACCCAGGAGCAGAGGTTGCAGGGAGTTGAGATTGCACCACTGCACTCCAGCCTGGGTGACAGAGTGAGTGAGACTCTGTCTCAAAAAAAAAAACAAAAAAAAAATGGGGTCTCATCTTGTCACCCAGGCTGGAGTGCAGTGGTGCAATCATAGTTCACTGCAGCCTGAAACTCCTGGGCTACAGCAACTGTTTACTATATTTTAAATTCCTTGAAGAGGGAATCTATATTTAATTCATCTCCAACTTGAAGTTATATATTGGCACACTGTTGACCTGAATTATAATTTTCCGCAAGTCAAGGAGTGTAGAATTATCAAATTTTTATATTGCAATTATCACCATATACAGAGACACAGCTTCTTCTGAAAGTTAAAAGAAGAAATTTACCTAGGATAAAAATCAAAGAATTTTAGAGTGTGAAGAACATTAAATATTAATTATATCTTTTGGCAATGAAAATTGAGACCATAAAAGTACCATGTATTATAGGAAATAGTGACTCAAATGAAAATATATGACCAACGTGAATAACTGAAATACACCAGAAGCTATAATAGATCACAGAACTAGACAAATATTAGCTCTTTGTGCTCAAATTATAAATTAAACTAAATAACACAACATACTCACAATACATTACTTTTTTATACTCAGAACACATTACTGACAAAACCAACTGTACATACGATACAAATTACTTAAAAAAGATACCCATTATTGTATTTAAAAACAGCCAACTTGCAAAACTATAACATACTCAAATAAATCCATAATTATACTCTAGAAAGCTAATGAAATTTAGAGAAATACAAATTTCCCAAGTATGTTTACAGACCTAAAACCCTAAAGTCAGTCAAAATTGTATCTATTGTATCTATAATATTAAGGATCTCTAGAGGTAGAAGTATTGCTATTCTTAGAAAGCCATATTAACAATAAATAACCTTAGCTATAACAATTATGGGCTTAAAGTATTTCCCCATTTTAAACTGATTTTTCACAATCATGAATATATGAATACTTATCAGTGAGGAAAAAAATATAAACAGTACAACCAAAAGCACATTAATTATTCAAATAAACAATCTCATCTTGCCCTTGTGGTTATGTTTCTTCAGTGGTGCTGAAAATAATAACTTTTGGTTCCATTAAAGAACTATGAATTTTTTGCACTATGAATTCTAAAGTATCCTGGAACAAAATTATTAAGTAAAACAAAGCATCAAAGATCACTTTAACAAGTTTATAAAATCAGCAGCTTAAGACAAAAATGAAAAAAAATCTTACAAATAAGGTAGTAAAATATGTCATCAAGTAATACATATAAGTAATTTTTGGCACTGTGTTGGATAGATTCAGGAGCTAGTAAGGAGTTCTGTTGTCCCAGACTGCTAGTTATTTACTACTCTTATAAACTATGCACAGGAAACATGGGAAAGTGTTTATATATCTGTTATTACATATAATTATACCTCTGTTACTGCCCCTGGCTTCAAAGGTCACATCTTTTCTTCATTTTTCAAGATGGCCTCCATCTTCCACCCTTGCCTGCTAACTATACCCTAACAGTCTTAATACTCTGATTAAACTTAAGACAACACTGACAACTACCTAGGGGGAAAAAAAAACAGAAAATGATATAATCTTTGTAATGCTAAACCAAATATTCTGGTGTTGAAAAAGGAAAAATATAGATGCATAGTTTTTAATTTGTCTTTTGTGCTTCAGAGCTTTGTAGGTTACTTCTGAGTTGGAAAGACTTAAGACGCCTAAAAATAACGGACCGTACAAGTAAAAAAAATTCTAAATGTAATTCTTTTGTTTTTACTGTGTTTTTTAAAATAGAATTCTTTTTTATTAAATAGAGTCAGGCTTTAGAAAACTAACAGTAGCCTGGGTGCAGTGGCTGATGCTTGTAATCCCAGCACTTTTGAGAGGCCAAGGCAGGTGGATTGCTTGCATCCAGGAGTTTGAGACCAGCGTGGGCAACATGGCGAAGCCCCATCGCTACAAAAAAAAAAATACAAAAATTGGCCAGGTATGGTGGCTTGCATCTGTAGTCCCAGCTACTTGGGAGGCTGAGGTGGGAGAATCATTTGAGCCTGGGAGGTCAAGGGTGCAGTGAGTCAAGATTACACGCTGCACTCCAGACTGGGTGACAGCAAGACCTTTCTCAAAAACAAAACAGAAGAGAAAAGTTACAATAAAACAAGTTATAAGAATTAGACCCCAGTCTTCGCTTTTATCATCATTACTTAGGGAATTAAAGTAGAGAAATAATAGAGACAAGCAACACTGGTCAGTGAAATGGCACATATGCCTTGCTCTCATAAATTTTAAAAAAAAAAATGCCATTCTAATTTATGTTCTTTTCCTTTTTTTTTTTTTATTTTTGAGACAGGGTCTTCCCGTAGCCCAGGCTGAGGTGCAGTGGTGCGACCACAGCTCACAGCAGCCTAGACCTCCCTGGCTCAAGCGATCCTCTCACCTCAGCCTCCTGAGTACCTGGGAACACAGGTGTGCACCACCATGCCGGGCTAATTTTTTGTATTTTTGGTAGAAACAGGGTTTCACTGTGTTGCCCAGACTGGTCTCAAACTCCTGGCCTCACAGAATCTGCCCACCTTGGCCTCCCAAAGTGCTGGGCTTACAGGTGTGAGCCACCACACCTGGTATCAGTTTCTTTTGAACATAATTATGATCCATATTGCCAAAGCCAAATAAACTTTGGTAAACTAATCAACATCAGCTTCAAAACTGAGGACAAGATGCTTGATAGGATATCTCATCCAAGAGATTCTTAGCAAAAATAAGAAGTAAAAGGAAGTCATAGATAAGTGAGAATAATGAACACGAAAGAGCACTAAACATTTAATAGTAGCAAAGGGGACACAGGCAAGTTATAAGATTTAAGAAATTCTACAAAGTTCTTAAATGCAAAGCCCATGAAAAGTGGTTTCTAATTCTACTGTCAACACAGTAACCAAAACATTACTTCTAGTATCAGCTGAGTGTAGTTTCCCAAAACCTTCCTACTTCCTTCTTATACATTTCCTTTATTTCTATGCATTCTCCTTTTTTCTCAAAGATAGCTCTTTCAAACAGAGGATACATTTTTGTTTCCTGGTCATAACTAGATCATTGTATTTCTTTTTTCTTTTTCTTTTTTGAGATGGAGTTTCACTCTTGTCGCCCAGGCTGGAGTGCAATGGCGCGATCTCGGCTCACTGCAACCTCTGCCTCCCGAGTTCAACCAATTCTCCTGTCTCAGCCTCCCGAGTAGCTGGGATTATAAGCACTCGCCACCAGACCCGGCTAATTTTTTGTATTTTTAGTAGAGATGGGGTTTCACCATGTTGGGCAGGCTAGTCTCAAACTCCTGACCTCAGGGAATCTGCCCACCTCAGCCTGCCAAAGTGCTGGGATTACAGGCTTGAGCCATCATGCCCAGTCGATCACCGCATTTCTAAGAGTAGTGGTGGCCTAAGAAAGCCTATCTGGGCTTGATAAACTGGAAATCACTTAATAGATATTCCAGTAACCTTCTTTCTTAGGGTCCTGTTCATACTAATAATAGGTACCATTATGAAACATCCTCAATATTTTGAGAATTATACTACACATTTCATCATGATCAAAAAGTATTCTTAAGAAAAAGTCAAAAACTCAGAGAAGATAAGTAACCTACAAAAGTTTTCCATAACTGGTAGGATAACGTAGAGGCAACTCAAACCCAGCTGGTACAACTCTAAAGCCTATATGTTATCTTCCATCACATGTCACTGTCTTTTCCATAGTACAAACATAAATAATGGCAATGAATAGTAAACTCCAAATAAAAGGCATACGTTGGCTAACATGCACTATTACTGGCTCTGAGGGTTTCTCAGAGCAACAAAGTTCTGTGAACCTAGCCTTTGGCCATCTGTTAACTGGAAAAAAAAAAAAAAACAAACAAAAAACAACGTTGTCTAAATGATTTTTTGATAGCCCAGCAGCAAGTCTGGCATCTTTATACCAGCAAAATATCCTTGTAATCAAACTACCACTAAGAATAAAATGCATTTTAAGATTAGTAAAAGGCTATAAAATACTAATTTGGAATTTAACCAAAATTAAGTTTGGTTTCTAAGTTATCTGGTAAAAATTTTCATAAGCATTAGACATATCAAACTTAAAAAACACACACACAATTACGTAAAACAACATTCAAAAGAATTCAGTAACAACTATGTATTTAGTAACCCTACAAACACAACTATGAACCAGTTAAATTTTTTTAACATGCATTTTAATTAGTAAGCCCCCTTTTTTCTTTTACCTGTACTGTTTTTAACTGTTGGGTCTGTAACACAGAGGGCTGAGTTGTAGTATTAATCAGTTGACTTCCTGGGGTCAATGCTGAGACACCAATGACAGGTTTCACCTCTGGCCTCCCTCCAATGGTAACTACTTTAATTTGCTGCGGTGGTAACTTAGCATCTCCTGACTGGGCCTGAGTTGTAACTTTCTGAGCCTGGGGTAGTTGGCTATGGGGTAGTGCTAAAACAATTGGTGAACCAGACTTGCCCAAAGTTGTTAAAATTAACTTCTGTCCATCTGGTTTAAGGGTCTGATTGCCAAGTTTAAGATCAGATGTCTGTGATACTTTGTTTAAAATAATCTGATTGGCTGATATAGTCACAGGAGTCTGAGCACCAAGTTTTTGAAGGCCACTTGGAAAAGCTGGTTTCACTGTGGTATTAGAATCTGCTTTAGTAATTGTGGTATTCACTGCAACTTGGTTAGTGTGGTTACTGTACACTGTGATTGGTTCCGTGGAAATGGGCGTGGCTGTAGAGTCACCAGTAGAATTTATGTTGACAATTTCTTCCAGTTCTGTCTCCATGGGAATTGGGGATGAAACAATAACAGCCTCAATACTATCATCATCCACTAAAGTTATACCAGTGTCCATTATTTCCTCTGGAAGCAAACTATTCACCTCGGCTGGCACCACCTCCATGATCGTTCTCCCGCTAGAAAGTTGATCAGGCACTGTAATAAAAGTTGAAAAATGAACAAGTTACTAGGTTTCAAAAGATGTAAGAAAAAAAATCCAAGAAAAATGCAACTGGCAAAATGACAATTTTTAAATTGATATATAATTGAATGAAGAACATTCCTGATGCTTATCTGGGCTAAATCATGTTAACAGATCTTCAACCTGCAAGAATCTGTAATCTAAGTCATATAGAACACAAAACTAGGAGCAAACATTCTTACTCTCCTTGTCTCAATCCACAAGTATCTCGCACTCAGGCAACACTAAGTCACATAATCACATGAAACTCCTTTCTAATGCCCTCTAATAAAACTTGTAATCTTTGACGTATCTGATCTTATTTCTTCCCAGTTTTTTTTCCTCTCATTGACAGACTTGAAAACTGCTGATTCACACAAGGAAATAAAGATTTAAATATTGGGCCGGGCGCGGTGGCTCAAGCCTGTAATCCCAGCACTTTGGGAGGCCGAGACGGGCGGATCACGAGGTCAGGAGATCGAGACCATCCTGGCTAACACAGTGAAACCCCGTCTCTACTAAAAAAATACAAAAAAAAACTAGCCGGGCGCGGTGGCGGGCGCCTGTAGTCCCAGCTACTCAGGAGGCTGAGGCAGGAGAATGGCGTGAACCCGGGAGGCGGAGCTTGCAGTGAGCTGAGATCCGGCCACTGCACTCCAGCCTGGGCGGCAGAGCGAGACTCCGTCTCAAAAAAAAAAAAAAAAAAAAAAAAAGGTTTAAATATTAACATATTGTAAAATATATTCAAATCTCCAATGAGCTAGGTCCTAATATGAGTGTACTATCCCATTTTAAAAATCCATTAAATACCAAAATTAATGTTAAAGGAGTTTCTAGAGTAATCCATCTCTTGCAGATCAAATAGCATTTGTGGTACAACTTTGATCAACTAGCTTCATACCAAGGAAACTTTTATTTGGAAAGAAGATTCTCAAACCCTCCTCAGCCATTTATTTACTTACTTATTTATTTATTTATTTATTTATTTATTTATTGAGAGGGAGTCTCACTCTATTGGCAAGGCTGAAGTACAGTGGCACAATCTCGGCTCACTGCAACCTCCGCCTCCTGGGTTCAAGCGATTCTCCTGCCTCAGCCTCCTGAGTAGCTGGAATTACAGGTGCCTGCCACCATGCCAGGCTAATTTTTGTATTTTTAGTAGAAACAGGGTTTTGTCATGTTGGCCAGACTGGTCTTGAACTCCTGACCTCGGGTGATCCACCTGCCTCAGCTTCCCAAAGTGCCTGGATTACAGGCATGAGCCACCATGCCTGGCCATCCTCAGCCATTTAAAGTGTCAAAAAGAACCATTTAAGAGACGCACAGCCAGTCCCCATGAAGAAAAAAAAGTAATAGTCATAAAGCAGATGATGAAAAACCTCGAGCTGTGGTACTTTTAGCCAAAGGTCTGCAGAACTTCCAATAAAGGAATCAATTCTATTATCTTCATGTATAGAAGACAGTAAATCATGTTTATGACAGAATAAATTGCAGTGAGTTATTTGCCCAGAGAACATCAGATCCATAGGAACCTAATCAGCAACTTTCTTCTCTTCCTTTTTTTTTTTTTGAGATGGAGTCTTGCTCTTGTTACCCAGACCGGAGTGCAATGGTGCAATCTTGGCTCACTGCAACCTCCACCTCCCAGGTTCAAGCGATTCTCCTGCCTCACCCTCCCAAGTAGCTAGGATTACAGGCATGCGCCACCACGCCCAGCTAATTTTTTGTATTTTTAGTAGAGACTGAGTTTCTCCATGTTGGTAAGGCTGGTCTCAAACTCCCGACCTCAGGTGATCTGCCCACGTTGGCCTCCCAAAGTGCTGGGATTATAGGCGTGAGCCACCATGCTCGGCCCCCTTTTTTTAAATATAAAAATACACCACCTGGCTGGGCGTAGTGGCTCACGCCTGTAATCCCAGCACTTTGGGAGGCCAAGGTGGGTGGATCATGAGGTCAAGAGATAGAGACCATCCTGGCCAACATGGTGAAACTCCGTCTCAACTAAAAATACAAAAATTAGCTGGGCATGGTGGCGTACACCTACAGTACCAGCTACTCAGGAGGCTGAGGCAGGAGAATCGCTTGAACCCGGGAGGCTGAGGTTACAGTGAGCCGAGATCGTGCCACTGCACTCCAGCCTGGCGACAGAGCAAGACTCCATCTCAAAAAAAAAAAAAAAAAAAAAAAAAGATACACCCCACATATAAAATTAACACAAAAGTAGCAAATTATGACTATTAGCACTGGCAAATACTACTACTGCCAAAATAAACCATCATTATTGAGTGCTTACTATACAACAGTGATGACATAATTTAATTTATCCTCACAACAACTCAGAGATGGGAATCATCATTATCTCTGTTTTATAGATGAGGTCATTTAGAAAGGTTAATTTGCCTAAGGTCACATAGCTAGTGAATGGCAGAGCCAGGACTCCAGCTCAGGTTTTTAAGATGCCACAGTTAATAATCTTGGCTGGGCACAGTGGCTTTTGCCTGTAATCCCAGCACTTTGGGAGGCCGAGGTGGGCAGATCACCTGAGGTCAGGTGTTCGAGACCAGTCTGGCCAACATGGCAAAACTCCATCTCTACTAAAAATACAAAAATTAGCCGCGGCGGTGGCAGGTGCTTGTAATTCCAGCTACTCAGGCGGCTGAAGCACAATAATCGCTTGAAGCCGGGAGGCGGAGGGTGCAGTGAGCCGAGATTGTGCCACTGCACTCCAGCCTGGGCAACAGAGTGAGACTCTGTCTCAAAAAAATTTTTTTTAAAAGATGCCACAGTTAATAATCTTAATCCCAAAATTATATTCCCTTAAATTTTACCATTGGTGTTTTAAAACAGGGAAAAAATAAGTCTACTTTTCCAAAAAGACAAACAAACAAACAAAAACCCGACATACATGTGCAGAACCTGTAGGTTTGTTACACAGGTGTATGTGTGCCATGGTGGTTTGCTACACCTGTTGACCCATCCTCTTAAGTTCCCTCCCCTCGACCTCCACCCCCCAACAGACCACAGTGTGTGTTGTTCCCCTTTCTGTGTCCATGTGTTCTCATTGTTCAACTTCCACTTAGGAGTGAGAACATGCAGTGTTTGGTTTTCTGTTTCTGTGTGAGTTTGCTGAGGATAATGGCTTCCAGCTTCATCCATGTCCCTGCAAAGGACATGATTGCATTCCTTTTTATGGCTGCATAGTATTCCATGGTGTATATGTGCCACATTTTATTTATCCAGTCTATCACTGATGGACATCTGGGTTGGTTCCAAGTCTTTGCTATTGTGAATAGTGCTGCAATAAACATACGTGTGAACGTGTCTTTAGAGCAGAATGATTTATATTCCTTTGGGTACATACCCAGTAATGGGACTGCTGGGTCAAATGGTATTTCTGGTTCTAGATCCTTGAGGAATCACCACACTGTCTTCCACAATGGTTGAACTAATTTACATTCTCACAAACAGTTAAAAATGTTCCTATTTCTCCACAGCCTCGCCAGCATCTATTGTTTCCTGACTTTTTAATAATTGCCATTCTGACTGGTATGAGATGGTATCTCATTGTGGTTTTGATTTGCATTTCTCTGATGATCAAAGAAACGATGTCGAGCTTTTTTTCATGTTTTTTGGCCACATTTGTCTTCTTTTGAAAAGTGGGTCTGTTCTATCACTGAAGATTAGTTTTGTGTTTTTGCTCATCCCAGAAATTCATATAAATTGAATAATATATGTACTTACGACATAAAGCAATCATATAGTATGAGTTTTTTCTCTCAGCATGCGTTTCAGATTTATCTGCATTGTTTTACTTATTAGTAGTTCCACTCCTTTTTACTGCTGAGTAATATTCCATTGTATAAATCAATGACAATTTGTATATGCATTCATCTGTTAATGGACATTTGGACTGTTTCCAGTTTGGAACTATGATGAATAATTCTACTATAAACTGCTATAAATATTTAGGTTCAAGTTTTTTCTGAAAATATATTTTTCATTTCTTTTGAGTAAATATCTAAAAGGAGATCTTGCAATTCCTTCTAGGTGAATCACATGGTAAGTTTATTTTTAATTTTGCATGAAACTGCTAAACTATTTCCCAACTTAACTGTAGCGTTTTATACACCCACCAGCAATGTATGAGAGTTCCAGCTGCTCCACAGCCTCACCAACAATTGGTATTGTCAGTCTTCTGTTGGTCTTTTTAACTCTAGCCATTCTAGTGTATGTGAAGTGATATCTCATTGTGTTTTTAATTTGCAATTCCCAGATGATTAATGACTCTAGCCTCTGTTCATGTGCATATTGTCTATCTGTATATCTTCCTTTGACAAGTTCCTGTTAAAGTCTCTGTCATTTTTTTTTTTTTTCTTTTAAAAATACCTGGTTTGGCCGGGTGTGGTGGCTCATGCCTGTAATCCCAGCACTTTGGGAGGCCGAAGCGGGCGGACCATGAGGTCAGGAGATCGAGACCATCCTGGCTAACATGGTGAAACCCTGTCTCAACTAAAAATACAAAAAATTAGCCGGGTGTGGTGGCGGGCGCCCGTAGTCCTGGCTACTCTGGAGGCTGAGGCAGGAGAATGGCGTGAACCCAGGAGGCGGAGCTTGCAGTGAGCCGAGATCGCATCACTGCACTCCAGCCTGGGAGACAGAGCGAGACTCTGTCTCAAGGGAAAAAAAAAAAACGGGTTTACAGTCTTACTTAATTGGATGAATTTGTTACATGTACTGCGAAATTACCCGTCACTTATAACATCTTAAAGGACTCACTAGGGTTTTGGGACCCCAAACTACTAGCACTGCTTTATGTGACTCTTCCTGATCAAAGAATTCCCTCTGGCACTTACAGGCATTCACAGCACAAGCATGTAAAAATATCAACATCAAATATACATCAGCAATGACAATCACAACAACACACAACAAAGGGCTCCACTCACAATGTCACACTAGCTTTCTTCCCCAAATC